CCCTTGGAATTTGATCTGTTGATCGACCTTGATTCTTGCAGCCAATCAAATATATCGTACATGTCCACAGCTGTTGCAAATGATGAGAGTTTCTATCTGGGATGTGCTATCCACATACTTTTTTTTACTTCTCACATACCCCTTGTTAATTTTTGTCCTTTGATCTTCTTCAATTCATCCGATCCAACAGTCGAAAACCAAAAAGGTGTGAGAGAAGTAAAAAGATGTGTGTGGATATCACACCCCTTACTATATATAGTTTTTCAAAAATGATGCAGCACAACAAAAAAAAAATATAAAATACTAGAACATTCGTTTGACAAAAAAGAAATTATAAAATACCAGAACATATTGAAAACATTAGAACAATGTATAATGTGTGTTCATCCAAGTATCCAAAAAGTCTTTTATAAGTTATAGAAAAATGTATCTGTAATACGTCTAAGTGAGAGTCACGACCTACGTGGTTTAGGCTGATGGCTAGGCAGGTCTAAACGTCATTTCTTACTTTTTAAACGTCTAAGAATTAATCGTGGTGATAGCCAATCGCCTAGCACCTAGGCAACCCTAGTTGAGATTTTTAGAAAAATGATCTTAATAGTGTTGTTTGCATGCCCGTTCTTGTGGACCTCGTGGTATAGTGTTTCTATCTTTCTAGATATGTGCATCATTTTTTAAAACACTATATATAGAAGGGGTGTGATATCCACACACATCTTTTTGCTTCTCTCACACATTTTTGGTTTTCGACCGTTGGATCAGATGAATTGAAGAAGATCAACAGACAGAAATTAACAAAGGGTGTATGAGAAGTAAAAAGGTGTGTGTGGATATCACACCCCTTACTATATATAGTGTTTTCAAAAATGATGCAGCACATATCTAAAAAGATAGAAACACTGTATTCGGTTCCCCTTGAGTCCCCATTTTAGTGTCAGGTGGATCTGTATGGCTTTGAAAGAAGAGAGATGTATTGATGATTTAAAAACTTCTCCCCATAAAATCATTTAAATCCACACTGACTGATCACTAACAGTTCGATTTTAATATAATAAGACGAGAAAGTATAACACAAAAATGATCACTTACCATTTGATTGAGATTGAACAATGAATGACTATTATTTCTTTAGACAACAAGGTCCACGAGAACGGGCATGCAAACAACACTATTAAGATCATTGTTCTAAAAATCTCGACTTAGGGTTACTTAGGTGCTAAGCGGTTGGCCATCATCACGATTAATTCTTAGACGTTTAAAAAATAAGAAAAGACGTTTAGACCTACCTAACCATTAGCCTAAACCGTGTAGGTCGCGACTCTCACTTAGACGCATTACAGATACATTTTTCTATAACTTATAAAAGTCAGCCTAAACCATGTAGGTCGCGACTCTCACTTAGACGCATTACAGATACATTTTTCTATAACTTATAAAAGACTTGTTGGATACTTGGATGAACACACATTATACATTGTTCCAATGTTTTCAATATGTTATGGTATTTTATAATTTCTTTTTTGTCAAACGAATGTTCTAGTATTTTGTATTTTTTTGTTGTCAAATGATAGATTTGTTAGATTAGAGTCGACGGAATTTGAATCCACGTCATTGTGCAAAGGGCAACACTCATATCTACCACTGTGGTAGAGGGCTACTTCCGATATTTTATAATTTATATGTCATTTTGTTTTGCAATTTATATATTACAATAAAATTATATTATTTTTTAAGTATAATGAACATTTATATATATTGTATAATAAATTTAACTTAAAAAAAAAAAAAAAACTGCCTAGACCTCTGTCCATCGAGACATCGCCTGACTAGCACCTTACATTTCTTAGAACAAGAACGACAACTGAAACAAAACCCGTCAGCATAACAAATAACTGTAAGGTGTCATAAACCCAAACTTTGAGATCCAAACTCGGGTCGAGAGGTCCCCTTTGTCCCGACAGATCTATCAGCCCACAGACATCGTTTCATCGCACCAAGTAAAAGAAATGGCCCAAACTATTTGAAAATCGAGGCCCGTTAATTCAACAAGCACAAAAGAACGCGGGCCTCCAAATCCGCCGCGCAAAACCGTCATCAAGCGACAAGTAAAAGAAACCAACGCCCCGAACCCGTCACACCAGAAAGCGTTGCAGATCGCCGAGCTCGGAAATGGAGGAGGCAAAAGCGGCGGCGTACTATGACGAGCTGACTCGGCGCGGCGAAGGAGCCGCCAGATTCAAACAAGGCCTTGGCTTCTCTTCGGCAAACTCGGATTCAAACACCCCTTTCTATATATATGGATTTCAAAAATGATGCAGCACATACCTAGAAAGATAGAAACACTGTTTTCGGTTCTCCTTGAGTCCACATTTCAGTGTCATTTGGATCTGTATGGCTTTGAAAGAAGAGAGATGTACTAACGATTTAAAAACATCTCCCCATAAAATCATTTAAATCCACGTTAGCTAACTGATCACTAACCGTTCGATCTTAACACAATAAGAGGAGAAAGTATAACACATAAATGATCACTTACCATTTGATTGAGATCGAACAATGAGTGACTATTATTTCTTTAGACCACGAGGTCCACGAGAACGGGCGTGCAAACAACACTTTTAAGATCATTGTTCTAAAAATCCCAGCTTAGAGCTGCCTAAGTGCTAGGCGGTTGGCCATCACCACGATTAATTCTTAGACGTTTAAAAAATAAAAAATGACGTTTAGACCTGCCTAACCATCAGCCTAAATCGCGTAGGTCGCGACTCTCATAAGATGGTATGAATAGTGCTGATCATTCCAAGTTGATTGAAGGCTATGATAAGATGGTATGATTAGTTTGGTAATTGTAATTTACTTGTTGTAATTCATCAATGTCAGGAATCAGGCTCAAGTCTTTATCAATCTTAGATAAATGACACAGTGAATTCTTAATAAGATGTTGAAGGTTAAACATCTTTGAACACCACTGCATTTTATAAAGTGAAGATTGAGTTGTGTTGGTTTGCATTACTTCTGTTTTCTCAATCAGTTGCATAATCATCTTTATGTTCATTTTTTGGTGAGAAAACAGGGATATGTTTGCAGGTATAAATGCCGCTACATCTTATTGCCCGGCCATACTTGTAACAAAAGATTATCGTTTCAAGCAAACACTTTGATTGCTCTATAACCTTACAGAGTAATTTAGTTCTATATATGTGGCATATTAGTTATTATCCAAGATCAGAAATAACCGGTCAATTAGCAGAGCCTTGGATCTTCAATCATCATAGGTTAGATTCAGAAAGAAAGGCATGATTAGGCATCCTTGACATGAGATTTGATAATACTGCCACACTGATTTATGTAGCTTTTAAGTTGTAACTCAGAATTTATCTAGGCCGTTTGATTAGAGCAAAGTGAACTGATTGTGCGTGTTTGCCTTTTTGTATAGTTGCTGAAGATGATGCAGCATTAGTTAAGCACATTGGCCAAAGCTTCCGGTTTTCTGCAGTTGAGGTATGTGTATCTGCGATCGTCCCGCTAGTTTCTCATTTGAGTTCCAGTTCTATGTTCATGTCACCTTACATTTAGAAATCTGGCTTGTTAAAGATGACCCGTAGTTTCTGATTTTACTCATTCGATTGTCATCGTGTAGACAAAAAGGGAGGAGCAGCTCAGATCTGCTCATGATGAGGCCATGTTTGGTGCATCAGATGATCGACCGACCATTGTGATGGACAGTGAGATTGAGGCAGAGAATGACATAAACGACAGCAAAGAAAGTAAGCCTACAACTACAAGCCTCCTGAGTGATAAGGTAAGTTGAAGATTGCTTGTTGCTAAGCGACATGTTGATGTGGGTTATTTTTTGGACTCCACATTATATTTGAAATGATGCTGCCATTTCTGTAGGTACTTTCAAAGAAACAAGGTTCATGGCGTGATTGTATATGTGACAAAAGGAATTGACATGGATGACTCGGGATAGGTCTTCTCAAATCCGGTTCATATACCAGATGCAGAGGTCATGTCGACATAATCTGAAGTCAAGTTGAGATCTGAAATGGCGATGGAAGGGGCTGACATGGATATCGGCATGGAACATTCTAATACTACCATTTTTGAGTTTTGATATGAAGTTACATGATGGAGTTGACAACGGAGATGCACTGAAGTTAGTGGAAAGAAGCTTCTGCGTTGAAGTTAGAGGCCTAAGAATTGCCTTCGTCGGATCATTTATTCTGAGTCATCCCTCTGTTAAAAAACAGCACTTCTAGAGGATATCCCGAGTCCAGGCTTCTTGATAGAAAGAGCTTGAGTATATTGCCTGTAGTTTGGGCGGGGAAAACAGTGGCATCGTAGTCGTATGAGTAGGCCACTAGTTGTACTTGTATTGTACGTTCGTTCGTGTATGATATTTTAACATATTCTAATACTAGATTTGATTGCAAGTTTAGAGATGTGTGTCTGTTGAAGAGCTGAGTTCTCATCCGATATTAGCCACTAAACGAGACCAAAATCTTAATCACAATTATCCACATAATAATTGTGATTGTGCTGTAGAAGATACATGTTAATTCAACTATCCTAGTTTGGTAACAAAAGAAAATTCCAACCATACAAGTGATAATAGAGACTTATTCAAGCCAAGCGAACCTTATTAGTTTTGCCTTTTTTTTAATTTTTCGGAAACCGATCAGTTTCGTCTTTTGAATGAGAACAAAATGAGAAAAACTTGGGTGAAAACCGTCCAATGACATGATTAAGTTTACTGCGGATCGTTTAATGAGTACATTTTAATTCCAAACTAATAGCATTAAAAACCAACAAGTCGTTGTAGTATAGTGGTAAGTATTCCCGCCTGTCACGCGGGTGACCCGGGTTCGATCCCCGGCAACGGCGCAGCAGTTTTTCCTTTTTTTACATATTTTAAGTCAGACCTCAGGACTCAGGAGGGCCAACGGAATTACGTGTCGCATTCTTATTTGCTGAACCGGAGACAGCAAGTGGGGCACCCCACTCCGGGAGACAGCCAATCAAAGTGGCGGCTCGGGTTGTCTTTCTTCCTTCCTTGGTCCCTGTTTTAGCATTTCAAGCCCTCATCGCATTTTTCTCTCCGGTAATCTCCGTACGGTGCGTTTCAATCAATGGCTGCGAATCGCTGGCTGAGGCCCGAGGTGAGCGCAGATCTACCTTCGAGACTTGATCCTTTCGTCTTGTGCCAGATCGGCTTTGACTTTGTTGGTCGGGCTTATAATCCGGCGTCGTATTGTTTGTGTGTATGTAGGTTTATCCACTGTTCGCGGCCACAGGGGTCGCGATAGGGATCTGCGGGTTGAGTCTGTTCCGCCACATCACCATCAACCCTGAAGTCAGGTACGTCTCTCTCTAAATTTGGACTGCAAAGCTTATTGCTTTAGAATTAGATTGTTGCTAATCTTTGTGTTCTATTTGTAATTCGTTTATTTCTGTGCTATGCCAATAACTTATCAAATTAGATGAATATTTCCAAGATGTAAAGACCTTAATTTTCATTTTATTGTTTAATATTTGGGTTTAATTTAAGAAGTTTTAACGAACACTTGTGGTATTATTCATTTTTAACAAAAAAATCATATTTTTACCTTTTTTTTGTACTTTTTATTACATCTTTATTTGTCTTTTTTTTATTAAAATTAAAAGTTTTTTTGAACTTTTCATTAGTTTTCCTTTTAATTTAACCATAATGGGTGGTCTAAATTGATTACAAGAGAGGCTAAGTAAATTTTTGTGTACCTAAAAATAAACCGATTTTGTGATGGATATCGGGATGGGCTCGTTTGATGCTTAGGATTGGAGTATTTATTATATTCAAGGTGTGTTTGGACGAAGAAAAAAGGGAAGTTTGTTCAACTTGAAGGTAGAAGATAGATTACTAATGAATGAAACTTGTTCCCAACAATTCCCGCAAAATGGTAGGATTGGAAATGATACGTTTTCTTCATTTCTAATCCCCTCTAAACAAATAATCATTTGCCTCTACCTTCAAACACATTTCCTTCACACCGAACGAGCCCTCAAAGTGTTTATATATAACATGACCGGTTTGTAGTTAAAGCTCTTTAAATCTTTCAAGCTAGCGCACGTGGTAAATGTGAAGAACAACTCATGCAAATGTGTGGTATTTCCTTCTTGCTCTGTTGGTTCTCTTCACTCTCACAAACCTGAAAGAATTATGAATTGGATGTGAAGATTATACCGGATGTCGTAGCGTATAGTGATACCATCTCTTTTTTTCTTTCTGAATCAGAGTGAGCAAGGAGGGCAGAGCTGCTGGAGTATTGGATAATCACGCCGAAGGAGAAAAGTACAAAGAGAATTTCTTGAGGAAATTTGTCCGCAACAGGGCACCGGAAATTATGCCCGCCATCAACGGTTTCTTCACCGACCCGAAAAATAATTGAACTGGTTTGAGTAGCCGGTTAAGAGAAGAAGATGCCAGAGATCGAGACTCTGTAACTGCTATTAGTCGTTGGAGCTTTAGAGGTTGTGTTTAATTTTTACTTCCTGTGTGGAGGTTATTGCATTTGAAATAATCGGAGTGAATGACAATGTGCACTTGAATTTAGTTTTATTTGTGTTGATTAACTGCCTTTCGAGCATCCTATAGGCTGGATGTTGCCTTCTGTATATTAATCGGTTGGATGGGATCGTTTGGAAGTACTTTTAAAATAATTGAAAACGTTTATGATGAAAATGTTTTTTGAACCAATCTTTAGTAAAAACGCAAGTGAATTCTAGAAAAGCACTTGAAGTGCTTCATTTTACTTCTTTCAGAAAGCAGGTGAAGTGCTTTTGGAACTCAGCTTTTACATTATTTTAGCAATGGCAGCTTTTTATACGATTGTTTCATGAGACGACATAAAGCAATATATATATGCAAATTAAGATCATTTATTCCCACAGAAGTTTTACTGAATATAGAGAAAATTACTGCGTATGTTGATCTTATTCTCTGCTGTATCATGCCTCTCCTTACCTTCTTTGTACACAGCGTAAATGCATTTCATTTCACACCAAAACAGGCAAAAGTTGTGCTCAATACATTCAAATCCTTAGCAAACAATACAATTTTAGCAACAAATGCTTCCTAAAATATGAAATATTGTGTTTCGCACATCAAAGCCTGCGCCTCGTGACTAGTTCGATAATCGACAGATAGGCAACCCAGTGCAGAAAAATAAAGAATGAACGGAAGATCAAGGAAACACTTGAAAACCTATGATGCAAGGATACTTCTGTTTGGTCCTGTATTCCGTATCCGATACTTGATTGGATATGATACTTGCTCGATACTCTCGGATACTCGTCCAACACGTATCCTGGTTGATGGACACGAATTTGACATGATGGATATGCGTATCCTACATTTAAGATTCACATATTAGGCTTTTAGAATACATTTACACTTTCAAAACACATAATGAGGAGAAAATTAATAGGAGACATCTACAATTAAAAATTGCTAAATACAAAGAGCTTCTCTCTAATTAAAACCATGAATAGACTCTCACACTTCTTCTACTGTATAAAGAGGATTGGATTTCGAACTTTTTTTCTCTAACAACTCAAATGTACTTGAATTTGAATGATGAATTATGTTTTAAGATGTATATTTTTGTTACTATATACATTTTTATTTGCCGTATCCATAGCGTATCGCATCTTACTTTTTAGAGATTATCCGTATCGTATCGTCGTATCCGTATCCATGCTTCATAGTAGAAAATTAAAGCAACACATTAAAATTGAAATTTTTTACAGAAATCAAACTAATTAACATTACTAATAGAAGTACACGACACGCTCTCAAATGTGATCGATCCACTTCAAGCTTCTCGCAAGTTGTTGTGCCAAGACTGGTAGAGAAGGCATCTGCCTTGTACATCATGACTAAATTAGGGAGGAAAGTGCTCAACTTCCATTGAAGGACCGCCAGCTTGTTCTATTCTCATTCCTCGAAGTAAGCTCTTTGCTGTTTCCTTTTCCTGCAGTGAAGCGCAGAGAATTCATTAGAATTCAATGTCACATTTACATAAGCATATATAATGAAATAGAAGTTGCAACTCACTGGGCCAGTATAATCTAGAAGACGGGTACAGTAGATCTCTGATTCTTCAAATCTTTTCTGCTGCCTATAGTATTGAGCAAGATATAGCAGGGTTTCTACCATATTTGGTCCTTCCCTGTCTTCGGCTTCCATCCTCTCCAAATCCTTCTTGTAGTAATAAGCTGCCTCTTCAGAACGTCCAAGTTCAGAATTTAGCTTTGCTAATTGGTGCAGGGCAATTGCTTCCCTGTCATTACAATTAACTGCCCTTTTATAACACTTCATTGCTTCCTCAGTCATGTGCAGCTGTTCAGTATCATAACACTTGGCCATAGCAATCCACAACCGACAATCATTTGGCTGCAAGAATACTGATTTCTTGAAGTAATAAAGAGCATACAAGGGCATACTCATCATCTCATAAGCTTGTCCTAATCCATACCAAGCTCGATAATCACATGGATTTATATCTACAGCATGTCGATATGCCTCAATAGCAGCTGGGGTGTTTTTCATCTCAACATATTCATGACCCATAAGGGTCCAAGCAGATAAATAGTTTCTGTTCAATTTGAGCGCCCTCCTAAAGTACACAACTGCCTTCTCATGCTGCCCTTTTAAGCTGTAGTAATTTCCGATAATACAACAAGATTCAGGCCTGTATTTATCAGTGATAAATACTCTATGGGCAAGATAACTTAGTGCAGAGTAGCACTCCTTTGCATATAACACATTGGAATACATGTCCATGTCTTCCACTCGATAAGGGTCATTCCTGAGAAGTTCTTCAAAAATTGCTTCAACTTGTTCAAATTCCCTGAGATTGTATTGTGCCTTTGCAATTTGAGCCTGAATGTAATTACTGAAAACAAAAGTGCCCTTAAGATATTCATATTTTTTAAGGATTCACTGTGCTTCCTCATTTCTTGATAAGCACTGGCGAGAAAGAAGTCCTTCATCCAATGGTTATTGAGCTTAAGGCTGTTCAAGACATCAACTGTAGTGCACAACGACTGCAGCTCCGACCAGGCACTCCAGTTCCAAGGGTAGCTATTAACAGACTCCACAAGAACAGTAAGAGCAAGACTCTTGTTGCCTTTGTCTTTGAGCACAAGGCCATACAAGTAGAGTCCAAAAGGATCAATAGTCCCATTCTTGCGAAGGGTTGATAACTCCCTCTCGAGAGAAACCAGTTCACCATTCACAATATCGCTCTTTCCTAGGGGCCCCTCAAGTTCTATCATTTCTTCCTCTTTCCGTTTTTCTCCAGCCTTCATCAAGCAATAAAAACAAAGAAAAATATACAACTATAAAATCTGAATGAAATAAGTAGGTTCATAAAAATCAAGGATTTTTTAACACAAGAGAAGTTTCTACTACTGCTATCATGTAGCATTAAACTGACATAGATTTCTTAAAAGTACCCATCAACCAAAATGTAAAATCTCGTTAGATTCCTAAACCCAACTGCCGATTGGAGTTGTCTTTCACCCGTTTTGTTGTATGTTTAATCCTATTTGCCACATTGGATTCCTATATCTCATTATATTTCAAGTAGTTCATTCATACTACATAGCTGTTGACTAATTTGGCTTCAAACTGAATGTTTATGGTACTCAAGTCTTGAGCCCGTTTCATAGAAAAACTTGTCTTCTCGTATTTAAGTCTCAAGCTTGTTTTGCACAAAGCATTGTGTGGCTTTCAAGTGCCACGTCAGTCTTGTTTACGGGATGTTCTCGGCCTAGTTTTTCTTTGGCTTTATGGATACACTTCTTCGAGAGTGTTCTTTTAGGTTATTGTGGTTGTTGCGCAGCTTATTTGAATTGGAGAAACAAGAACAAAATTTCTCATTTCTCATTTCTCATTTCTCATTTGATTTAGTGAGCGAGTGAGCTTGGGTGTATTTGGGTCATAGGGTTCTCGAGTGAAACACACTTGTAAGTGCTCTCCTAGAAGACTCCATCCTCTCCGACTGGACATAGGCTTGCTAACGCTGAACCAGTATAATTGTTGGTGGTGTTCTTGGTTAGATTACCTATATACTATGTATTCTCAACAATTTCAAACTTGTGAAGATTTAAATTTATGGGCGAAACACACCGAAAAATCAAAAGACTAAAACTTTGAAGAGAGTGAAAGAACAGAGAAAGTTACAAACCAGATAAAGAGCATAGGAGCGTAAGAAGACCGATTTCTTTCCGTTCTGATCACGAACCACATGAGCAGCTCTTCTGTATTCCCTGCAGTCAAAATACGACTTAGCAAGGAGGTAGAAATCGCCGTCCACAATGTCATCTTCCTCCATCACCGGAGTGGACACATACGACACGCCGGCAGCCGGCGTCGAGGTGATGTCATTGGTGCGGAATCTGCGCCGGATGCTGGAGCTCCCGCGCTGGAATCTCGTGTTCGCAGGCGTGAACTTTACCGGGTCTTGCTCGATGATGCCGACGAGCTGCTCTGCCGCCCTGCATAATTATTGAAACGACGACGCATCAATTGGATGTAAAGAAATGAAATTTGAAATGGGGATTTAGGGTTTTAGGGTTTTGGGAGGTACCATTTGGAAGCGGCGTAGAGGCAGCGATCGCTCAGCTGTCGAATCGCAGTTCGAAGCTCGATTCTGTAGTTCTCTTTCGAACTCATCTAATCGATTGACTCGCTCACTCACTGACTCAGCCAATGCTGCAACTGTTCGCCCGGGGCATCTAACGTGCGCCGTGAGTGACGGTTGCTACTGACTGCCCAGCCACCGCGCGCTCTCTGCTTTCAGATTTTTCAAAAACAGGATCGAAACGTTTTGGGTTCTGGGAGGGCATTTTAGTATTTTAACTTCGATGGGCTGGGCTGGTATTTTTGCACCTGTTTCTACGTAAGCCTATTTTAAATTTACAACCGTTCAGATGGATCCAGCGGACAAATTCTTAGATACAACCAGCAAACTATATAGCTAGGGAGAAATACTGGTTAATACAATGGGAGTTTGAGATTTATGATTCATATACTGGTCGTCTGGTCCACGTAGTCTGTGTTCCGAAGACTGTGGATTTGAACATCTAGGACCCTAGGCCCCAAGATCCGAAGCCCACAACGGCGCCTGAGGAGATGCAAAAATTTGACCGTGAACTCGCTCAGCCTGAAATTTCAGTCGTGTCCCAGATTACTACATACACTAAGGACACGAAGTATGAAATCAATGACGGCCTTACCTACCAGGAGCTTCGGAAGCAGAAAGGCTTTCATGGCAGCAAGTTGGGGAAACACATTCGAGGATTCCACGAATGCTATAACTCCGCCCAAGAATATTGATCCTTGGTCCAATTTTGGGGTAATAAAACCCTCATTGTCAATCAAAATTTTATGAAATTACCAGTTTAACTCTCTAATTAAAACAGAACATGAATAAGAAATATGGGGCAAAAATGTAATTTCACACAACTAAATTTTGCTATTTTTTTTTCAAAGCCTCGCCTACATGTGATGTTAAAATACCTCAAATATTTATTAAAAAAAAAAACCAAAAACAAAAACCTCCCACTCCCC